GAAGGCCATGTGAGCCGCTGCCTGTGCTGGGTCTGGAGGCGCCTGGGAGATGTTATGCTGCGAACCAAGGCCAGCTGCCACTAGTGTTGGGCTTGGGGCCACTTAACAAGGGGTACAGGGTATGCTGAGGCCAGCTGTTGTTTGGGATTGTGGACCTTTGAGAGATTTTAGGAAAGTCTGCATGCAGCATTGGCTGAGGCTGGCCCCTTGTGAAGAATAAGTGCTGGAAGAGATTCAGACTTGTGTGGTAGTTGGGTGGAGTTGGGGGTCTCAAGGAGTCATCAGGATGGTGGAGTGATGTTAGTTTCATGGAGATTCAGGTTTGGCACCTCACTGCACCTGTAGACTGTAGGGGGAAGAGGGTTCAACAAAGGAACAATTGTGCCTGCCTGCCAACTGTGTGTGGGGCTCAACAAAGGAGCAGTGGCCCTTGCCAGCCCTTCTCCCCTTCCAGGCCTTACCCTGAAATCAGACAATTCAGTCCCTTCCCATATATCCCTGGAATTTTGTGCTCCTTTCCAGTCTCTGCAGCTTGGTGCAAGTGTTTGTGAGCAGATGAGTCTGTGTAGGCCCTTTTAGAGAAACACCTGGGTCTCCAGCAGTCCTCCTCCTTACCCAGCTTCAATCGACACTGGTTTTTACAGCCAGATGTGTGCTCTGGATTTGGACACCTGGTGTGAGGCTGGGACCCCTGGCTCCTCAGAGGGCAGTTCCACAGCCGAGATATCCCTCCTAGTTCTTGACTGCCACGTGTGGGTGTGGAGCCAGTCCATATTGTGTCTTTTCCCCTCCTACTAGTCTTGATGTAGCTTATTCTTTACATCCTGAGTTATAGGAGTTCTCTTTATCTATTTATTTTATTTTATCCTCACCGGAGGACATTTTTCCATTTTTTTGTTCAGATAGAGTGGGAGGGAAAGAGGGAGAGAGAGAGAGAGAGAGAGAGAGAGAGAAACATCGATGTGAAAGGGACACATCGAGTGGCTGCCACCCGCACGACCCAACTAGGGCCGGGGACAAACTGCAACCGAGGCACATGCCCTTAGCGGGAACCGAACCCGGGTCTCTCCGGACCGCAGGCCAATGCTCTAACCGCTGAGCCAAACCGGCCAGGGCTCTTTATCTATTTTTCACGTGGTTCTCAAGGGTTGTTGTTCTATAATTTTGTTATTTTGATGTGGTCATGGGAGGAGTCAAGCACAGCATTCACCTACACCACCAGTTTTTTTTTAAATGCTTCCTCGCCTTAACCTTTGTTATAATTAAGAATTGCATATTCTCTTCTGAAATAGAGTTGCATTTTCCTGCTTCTGTCTGTCTGTTGTCTTACCGTTTTGTTTTTTCTTTTTGTTTTACGTAGAAGAGCTCCTTTCAACATTTCTTATAATGCAGGTCTTGTGGTGGTAAATCCCCTCTGCTTCTGTATGTCTGGGAAAGCTTTTATCCTTCATATCTAAAGGATAACTTGACTGTAGATTATCCTTGGCTGGTGATTTTTTTTCTTTCAGTAACTGGAATATTTTCCCGGTCCCGGTGGCTTAGTGGATTGAGTGTCATCCCACAGACTGAGAGATCCCGGTTCAATTCCCGGTCAGAGCACATGCCTGGGTTGTGGGCTTGATCCCCAGTGGGCGGCTTGCAGGAGGCAGCTGATCGATGTAGCTCTCTTACATCGATGTTTCTATCTCTCCCTTCCTCTCTCTCTAAAAAAAAATCAATAAAAACATATTTCAAAAAATAATAATACTTGGAATATTTGATTCTACTCTCTCATAGCTTATAGGATTTCTGCTGAAACATCTGATGATAACCTAATGGAGTTTTCTTTATAGGTCACTATCTTCTTTATCCTGGTTGCTTTGAGGATTCTTTATCATTAATATTTGACATCTTTAATGTACTATGCCTTGGAGAAGGCCTTTTTGGATTGAGGTAATTAACTTGACTCTCTGTTACTTTCTCCTTCTCTTCTTCTTCTGGCATATCCGTTATTCTTATATTGCTTTTTCTAATGGAGTCAGAAGTTCTTGGGGAGTTATTTCATTTTTGTAAAAACTATCAATTCTCCTCCCACCTGAGTCATTTCTAGATTTCTGTCTTTAAGATCACTATATCTGTCTTCCGTCTGGTCTGCTATATTTCCCAAGTTCTCTAATTCTTTATCTCATTTATTGAATTTTTCAGCTCCAGAATTTCTGTTTGGTTTTTTTATAGTTTAAATCTCTTTGGTAACATACTCCTTTTTTTTTTTAATCCTCACCTAAGGATATTTTTTTATTTATCTTCAGCTAGATGGGGGTGTAGGGGGAGAGAAACATCAATGTCAGAGACATTGATTGATTGCCTCCCTCACAACCCCACAACCCCAACCAGGGCTGGCGACTGAACTGCAACTGAGGTACGTGCCATTTACCAGGATCAAACCCTCAAATCTTTGGTCCACAGGCCGCCACTCCAACAGCTGAACCAGACAGGCCAGAGCAGTAACAAACTTCTTTTATTATTATTATTATTATTATTATTGAAAGTATTATAGATGTTCCCCTTTTTCCCCATTGACCCCCTCCTTCCTGCTTTCACCTGCCTCTTGCCTTCCCCAGCCAAGTGTCTGTGTTGATTGGTTGTGCGTACATGCATATAAGTTCTTTGGTTTATCTCTTTCCGCCACTCCCATCCCCCATCCCTTTGATGTTTGTCAGTCTGTCCCTGCTTCCATGATTCTGGATCTTTTTTGGTCGACAGCTTATTTTGTTCATTATGTCCCACGAATAAGTTAAATCATGTATTTGTCTTTTTCTGACTGGCTTATTTCACTCAGCATAATGCTCTCCAGATCCCTCCATGTCGTCTCAAAGGATAAGAGATCTCTTTTTCTTACACCTGCATAGTACTCCATTGTGTAAATGTACTACAACTTTTTTATCCACTCATCTACTAGTGGGCACTTGGGCTGTTTCCAGATCTTAGCTATTGTAAATAGTGCTGCTATCAACATAGGGGTACATATATTCTTTCTGATTGGTGTTTCAGGCTTCTGAGGATATATTCCTAGACGTGGAATCACTGGGTCAAATGGAAGTTCCATTTTTAATTTTTTGAGGAAGCACCCTATTCTATTGTGGCTGCACCAATCTGCATTCCCATCAGCAGTTTGCTAGGGTACTTTTTTCTCCACATCCTCACCAGCATTTGTTGTTTGATGATTTGTTGATGGCTACCATTCTGACAGGTGTGAGGTAATATCTCATAGTCATTTTAATTTACATTTCTCTGATGATTAGTGATGTTGAGCATTTTTTCATGTTTCCTGGCCTTTGTATGTCCTGTTTGGAGAAGTGTCTATTCAGGTCTTCTGCCCATTTTATAATTGGCCCATTTTTAATTGGATTGTTTTTGTTTCTTTTGTTGAGTTGTATGAGTACTCTATATTTTGGATATTAATCCCTTATCCAATGTATCGTTGGCAAATATGTTCTCACAGAGAACATACTCCTTTTGATTGTTGATTTTATTCTGGAGTTCATTGAACTGCCTGAGTATTTTTATCTCACTGAGTCTTTTCAAAACTGCAACGTTGAATTCTCTCTCATTTAAATTGCAGTCTTCCATGTGTGTGAGTTTGGTTCTGGAAATTTTTGTTTTCTTTTTAAGCTAACTTATTACTTTGGCTATTCATGGTACTTGATGGATTATTTCTCTGTGCATTTGAGGTATTGAAGTCTTATTTTTTTAGGTGATCTTTGTTTTTAAGAATTTATCACCTTCTAAGTAAAGGTCTTTCTTTTGTTTTGCAGTAGTAGATGCTGCTATAGTGCAAATTTCCATTTTCTCTTACATTACATACACTTCTGGGACTTCTGAGGTCTCAGAGGGGTGGTGTCACCTCAGCTGTGGAAAATGCCTGGTGTTCCCAAGGAATTGGGCATTTCCTTTGTGACCACATTGCCTTAGTCTTAGAGTACCACTCCTTCAGTGGGATGTGGTGGTGGTTGGGGCTCCTGGGCCTATGAGTTTCTGGTGCTGCCTCTTTGAACCCAGAGACTGCCAGTTGTGCTGTAATATCTGAGGTGTCCCACCAGCCTCTACTGGGTTCCATTGCAATAGTTGGGAGAGGGGTTGAATACAGGTGGGTGGGTTTGCACATCTGTGGATGTTTTCTTCCTGGTAGTGGCAGCTGCTGGATGCTACATCTCTGTGCCACATCTCTGCTCCTATCACTGGGTTTAGTTGCAATGGCTACCAGCTACTCAAGATGAATGTTGCTTCTGCTGCTCTTACCCTCTCCTTGCTGCTCTGTGTGGCCTGCAACATAACACCTCCTTTGCTGCGGCGTCACCTGGAACCATGGCAAGCACTGGACTGCATCTGTGGCTCTTGTTTCTGTCTTTCCCCCTTCTGCCTCCTCTGCTTGTTCAATACGCCCATCTTCAGATTTTTCATTGCATGGGTCTCTCAGATGTGTTTGTGTGTTGAGCAGGGAACCTTTTGTTGAACTATAGTTGTCCAGCTAGTAACTTCAAGGGGAGAAACCAAGAGGTCTTCTCACTCTGAGATGCTGTTGATGTCACCACCTTTTTATTTTTTAAGTTGAAATATTAATTTATATACCATAAACTTTACTCTTCTAAAACATGTAATTTGGTGGTTTTTAGTATATTCACAGAGTTGTGCAGCCATTGTCACTGTCTAATTCCAAAACACTTCTTCTTCCCAAAGAGAAACCCATACCCAGTAGTCATTACTCTTACTTCCTGCTCCTCCTGATCCCTGGTATCCTTACTGTACCGTCTCTACGAACTTACCTTCTTGACATTTCATATAAATTTGATTATATAATACGTGACTTAAGTCTCTCCTAGTATGTGGACTTACTCACTCTCTAATTCACTTACAAGTTATTTGTCCTATAAAATTTCCTACCTTCTGGATTTTATTGACTGTACCACCGAGATGTCACTTAACAAGTTCCTTTACATCTCTGTATTTTTTCCCATTGGTAGGTACATCTAGAGGCCTGGATTATATTGAGGTTTAATCTTTTGACAACAAAACTTCATTGGTGTTCCCTATTTCCTCTTGGATTACATTGGGTGATACATAAGGTCTGGATATGTCTTAAATTTTATTTTGAAGCAGATAGGCCAAAGACTTCAATCGTAATTGAGGGATTAGGTACAGATAAAATTTGTGACATTTATTACAGTTGTTAAAGCATAAATAGGTTAAATTGTAGGATGATAAACCAAAATATATAATTTATCATCACAAGTATTCTTATGGAAGGGACACCTGGAGCTATTTGGTATACCTTCTTTCTATACCAGGCAAGCTCATATGGTCTTAATAAAATGATAATGTTGTTAGCAAAGTCTAACCTATTGGAAGGAGATGCCACATGGTATATATGAGGAGACAGCCAGTGGAGATAATCTTTTTCATGGTCAAAAGTATCTTAGAAACTACAGTAAAACATTGATATAATGGACTAAATCAGGCAAGGGTTTGTCTGTTAAAGCTGAAAGTCTTTTATATAATAAAGTAGGTTTTTTGAATACGTATATTAAAAAATTGACAAATTACTCTCTTTCTCTCTCTCGCTCACTCTCTCTCTCGCTCTCTCTCTCGCTCTCTCTCTCTTTCTCTCTCTCTCGCTCTCTCTCTCGCTCTCTCTCTCTCTCGCTCTCTCTCTCTCGCTCTCGCTCGCTCTCTCGCTCTCTCTCTCTCGCTCACTCTCGCTCTCTCTCTCGCTCACTCTCTCTCTCTCGCTCTCTCTCTCTCTCGCTCTCTCTCTCTTTCTCTCTCTCTCGCTCTCTCTCTCTCGGAAAAAAAAAAAAAAAAATTGACAAATTAGTGAGTTTACCTGTTTTTACTTTGTAGACATGTTTGTGTAGTTAAAATTAAGTATATATGAAGGTTTAATTTCACGGAAATGTTTTCTGTATGTGTTATAGTAATATTAAATTTATAGTGAGTAGGTCTAGTAAATGTGTGCATTCACAAGTCACCTTGAGTAAACAAATGCACACGTTTGGGGTGCAGTTTAGCACACATCAGAACATAAGCTAGCATGAGTTAAAACTGCTGCAGAAAGTCATGCCACCCAACAACAGAACCAATTACCGAGTGTGATGTGGTGTGATCATATCCTAATCATTCGTGGATTTATGAGTGGTGACTCTTGCATTTAATTATGTAGACTATCGCCTGGCTGGTGTGGCTAAGTGAATTGAGCCTCGTTCCATGGACTGAGAGGTCTTGGTTCAATCCTGGTCAGGGTACATCCCTGGGTTGCGGGCTTGATCCCTAGTAGGGGGCATCGAGGAGGCAACTGATCGATGTTTCTGTCTTGCCCTTCCTCTTTCCCTTCCTCTCTCTCAATTCAATAAAAAACATATTTAAAAAATATATGTAGACTATAGTTGTAGATATGTTGGCAAAATGACAAAAACACAAAACTTACAGTGTTTTTTTGAACATATGGCCTTTATTTAGTGAATAAATAAATAAAAATTCACTAAAATATGTTAAAAATAACAGTGAGCCCTGGCTGTTTAGAGCATCAGCCCACAGACCAGAGAGTCCTGGGTTTGGTTGCCACTAAGGGCACATACGTCGGTTGCAGTTTGTCCCCAGCCCCAGTTGGGGTTGTGTGGGTGGCAAACACTCGATGTGTCTCTCTCACATTAATATTTCTCTCTCTCTCTCTTCCTCCTGCTCTCCCTCCTGCTTTATCTGAAGATAAATGCAAAAATGTCCTCGGGTGAGGATTAAATAAATAAATAAATAAATAAATAAATAAATAAACAGTGAATTGCTCTGGTTGGTTTGGCTCAGCAGTTAGACCGTCAGCCTGCAGAACAAAGCGTTGTGGCTTTGGTTCCAGCCAAGGACATGTATCTCAGTTGCGGTTCGTCCTTGGCCCTGGTTAGCGTTGTGCAGGAGACAGCCAATCTATGTGTCTCTCTCACATCAATGTTTCTGCCCCACCCCCCACTCTATCTGAAGATACTTGAAAAAATATCCACGGGTGAGGATTAAAAAAATAATAGTGGCCTGACAGGTATGGCTCAGTAGTTGAATGTCAACCCATGCATCGAGGTCACTGGTTCGATTTCCAGTCAGGGCATATGCCCAGGTTGTGGGCTCGATCCTCAGTGGGAGGCATGCAGGAGGCGGCCAGTCAGTGTTCTCTGTCATTGATGTTTCTCTCTCTTTCTCTCTCTCTCTCTCTCCCTCCCTCCCTCCCTCCCTCTTCCTCTCTAAAATCAATAAAGAAAATAAATAACAGTGAATTAATAACAAAAAATATAACCTGTTAATTTAATTATAAGCCAATCTTGGTTTAAAGCATTTTAAAGTTAATAGGGTGTCAATTTTCACATATAAGGACTGGAAATTTTGTCCATTAAGTCGAGGTCTGCAAAGTCAAGGGTTTATTTACTGTATTGCAAAAGTAATGGAAGAAAAACTAATTAATATGTGTTGTGGGGATTAATATTATGCAGTAAGGAAATGACTTACAGAAAGGAATTCAAAGGGTAAGATTGAGAATAGTCAGGCCTTGCCCTGGCTGGTGTGGTGGTCAGTTTGATTCCCGGTCAGGACACATGCCCTGATAGTGGGCTGATCCCTAGCAGGGTGTGTGCAGGAGGCAGCTGATTTATGCTTCTTTCTCACATTGATGTTTCTCTCTCTGACCCTTCCTCTCTCTCTCAAATCAATTTAAAAAACATATTAAAAAAAACAACAACTGAATAGTAGAGCTTTCTAGGGATGGATGCTTGGGAATGCAGTTTTGTTGTAACATTTTTGTAATGCTATGTGGAGGGAGAGTACAAAATCATAGATGTACAGATGATATACAATTCCTGTACATAGTAAAATTCCAAGTAGATGGGGATCAGTTGTTGAAATAACTCATGAAACTTTGTTTATGAGCAAATTAGAGAGCAAGAGGGTTTAACTATATAAAGACAACCTAAACTATACTTAAAAGATAGTGGGCCTAGAAGTCATCATATAGATCCCTTGAAAACAGTATGTCAGATAGGTAAAATAGACATAAAATGTACCACTAACAGTATTAACCAAATAGAAGATGTTATTCCTGTAAACTGCATATCAAGAAAAATATAATTGGTATGGAGAAGATCCAAGAAAAGATAATTTAAATTATCAAAGCAATGGAGGAATTGCCATGTGAAGAACAGACTAAAAGAATTACAAATTTAAGCCTCAAAAGTATAGTGGTGAATGAAAGGGATTATGATTGAGGACTAAAATTAAAATAGTAATGAAAGAGGATTACAGATTTATTTCTAGATTATTACACAGTAAAACTAGGGCATCTGCTTTTTGATATGGAAGAGGTAAATTTGAAACAAATAAATATAAGTATTATTTTATGTAACAAGCATAAAATGTTTGCAACTTATTTCCCAAAGAAATGGTAGTGCTTGAACATTAATAATTTAAAAGTGTGGCATGTAAGTAGATTATGGAAATTAGATTATTATGGGAAATATTAAATTCAGATTATTATGGGAAATTAGAATTTTTTTTTATTTTTTATTTTTTTCATCCTCACCCAAGGACACTTTTTGCATTTATCTTCAGATAGAGTGGAAGGGATATATATATAGAGAGAAAAACATCGATGAGAGAGAGATACATTGACTGGTCACCACCCACACAACCCCAACCAGGGCCGGAGACAAACTGCAACCAAGGTATATGCCCTTAGCGGGAACCGAACTCGGGACTCTCCGGTCCGTGGGCCGACACTCTAACCGCTGAGCCAAACCGGCCAGGGCTGGGAAATTAAAATCTTTTGAGGTGCAAAACATTACAGGCCTTTGAAGTTAATATGATGATTTCTGCTCATGCTAAGGCAAAATATTGGGACTAGATAAACAACAGTTTTGTTTTTTGTTTTTTAAATAGTGTGAAAGGTTTTCTAACTGTGGAAAAAGCCTGATATATTCTTTATATTCTATACTCCTACATTTAGTTAATGAGATTTTTAAATATATTTTGGTCTGGAGTTCTTTTAGAATATCAAAAAGATGATGTGTTTGTTGCATTCTTTCTTTCAGAGTTTGATATTCATTCCCTCAGGTCTGCCAGGTCTGCTTTTATTTAAAAGCCAAAGAATATTAGTATGAATATAAACTCACTGTCTTTTCTGTTTGTCTTTTTCTGCAGAATTATTTTATAATTCCTCAGTTATTATTACTTTAGCAATTCAGTAGCAAGGAAAATTGGAATTGGTTTAATTTGCTTTGGCATTTCTTTTTCAGTCATGTTGAGACTTCTTGATGTTTTATTTAGTTTTTTTAATGTGTTTTTATTTATTTTTTAGAGAGAGATAGAAACATCAGTGTGTGAGAGAGAAACCATTTGATTGCCTCCTGCACGCCCCTTACTGGGGATCGAGCCTGCAACCCGAGCATGTGCCCTGACTGGGAATCAAACTGGGATCTCTCAGTCCATGGGGCAATACACAGTCCACTGAGCCACACTGGCCAGGCAGACCACTTGATGTTTTAGACAAAAGAGGTTGCATGCAGATGGTTTACTGAAAGTACTTAGTTTTTTTTCAGTATGTAATTTTTTGAGGGAAGGCAAGGGACTCTAGTTAGTTTCTGTCATAAATTTTTGTGATTTTAAAATATTGAGCCACAAGGTTATTAGGAATGATAATAAAGCCTCCTTCGGTTTTTGATAACTTTTATAGAATAGATCATTTCGAAAGTTTTTATTTTCAAATATAGTATAATATAAGCACAAAGTGTAAAAAGTACAGAAAGATATACATTGAAAAATATTTTCCACCCTTGTCACCATTACCTATTTCTCCTTCCTTAGACTACCACTATTACCAGTTTCTTGTATATTTTCCCAGAGATACTATAGTATTATCCAAACATATATGTATGTATATTTTGTTTGTTTATTTGTTTTTACACAAAAGGTACCATTATTGTGCACACACTCCTGTATCTTTCTTTTTTCACTGAAAGTAAATCTTGGTGATTGGACAGTAAACAGTCTAATTATTTAACCAGTTCCTGTTGTGTTTTTTCCAGACTTTCACTATAAATAATGCTTTAACGATTTTTGTGTGCATATCTTGCTACACACACACACACACACAAGCCCAATTATTTCCATATTATAATTACTTCTAACACCTTAAGGCAGTGATTTTCAACTTTTTTCATCTCATGGCACACATAAACTAATTACTAATATCTTGCGGCACACCAAAAAATATATTTTTTGCTGATCTGACAAAAAAAAATATAGGTATAGCCCAGTGGTTTTGGCTCAGTGGTTGAGCGTCAATCATGCACCAAGAGGTCACCAGTTGGATTACTGGTCAGGGCACATGCCCAGGTTGTGGGCCTGATCCCCAGTGGGGGGCATGCAGGAGGCGGCCAGTCGATGTTCTCTCTCATCGATGTTTCTGTCTCTCTCTCCCTCTCCCTTCCTCTCTCTAAAAGTCAATAAAGAAAAAAAAATCTGGTTCTTCTCCAAGCTTAAAAAAAGATAGGTATAATTTTGATTCATTCACACCAGATGGCTGTTGTTGTTTTGGCTGTTGTCATTTTTTTATTTGATAGTCGAAGGAAAAAAAGTCAGTGCCCCTGACTAAATAGTCAGATATTGAATAGTTGTTTTTTTTTTAAGAGAATTTTACTTTATTTATTTTTGTTAATTCTCACCTGAGGATATTTTTTCATTAATTTATTTTTATTTAATTTTTTGTAAATCCTCACCCGAGGATTTTTTTTTTTCCTATTTATTCAGATAGAGTTGGACTGAGGGGGGCGGGGGCGCAGGAGAGACACATTGCTTGGTTACCTCTAGCATGACCCTGACTGGGGCCTGAGATCGAACCTGCAGCCCAGGTACATGCCCTTGATGGAATCAAATCCACAACCCTTTAGTCCATGGGCCTATGCTATAATTCCTGAGCCAAACTAGTCAGAGCAGATATTGCATGTTTTAAAAATTCTTTCGGCACATCAATTGAAAATCACTCCCCTAAGGTATAAAACCTATATGCATTATTCACAAAGATTCCAGTGGCGGGGTCATTGTTTTATTTCCCTTATTGTAATAAAAAATGAAATTTCATAATGATGCATCTAAGTATAATTTTCTAGTAGTTGAATATATAAAATGAATGATAAGAATTTCACTTTGTGTTTTTACTCTCTCATCTTTGCATTGAAGATTTTAGTGCCTCTGGTTTTGCTACAGCAAATGCTTTTGGAGCTGGCGAGACGTGGTCAAGAGCCTCTGCAAACATTGCTGCAGTTTGGTGTGACGTATCTGGAGGACTGTGCAGCAGAGCACATCATCCAGCAAGGTGGCTGGGTATGAGCTCTATTTTAAAAATCTTTTCTTTCAAAAAATTAAGTATAGGTTTACTATCACTTATATTATTTAATATTATGTAATATAGATTGTGTGACAATGGAAAGGCTGTTCTGCAGTTTAAGTTAAACTACTAAGATTTTACATATAGTAAATTGCTATGTGATAATTTATTTATATTTTTCAATCATCACCTGAGGATACATTTTTCATTGATTCTAGAGACAGGAAGGGACACAGAGAGAAACATCAATGTGAGGGAGACACATCGAACAATTGTCTCCCAAGTACGCCCAGACCAGGGGCTCGAACCTGGGTATGTGCCCTGACTTGGAATCAAAGCCATGACCCTTGGTGCAAAGGATGGTGTTCCAACCAACTGAACCACACCAGCCAGAGTGCTGTGTGGTATATATATTTTTAATATGTTTTAATTGATTTCACAGAGAGAGAGGGAGGGAGAGATATCGATGTGACAAAAATATCAATCAGTTGCCTCCTGCATACCCCCTACTGGGGATCAAGCCACAACCTGTCATGTGCCCTGACCAGGAATTGAACCAGGATCTCTCAGTCCATGGGACAGTGCTCAATCCACTGAGCCACACCAGCCAGGCTTAAGTAGTAGTTTTATTTTATTTATTTTTATTTTTAAAAATGTATTTACTTATTATTGTTACAGATGTTTCTCCTTTTCCCCCCAAGTTAATTAGTATTTTTAAATAGTTCTAATTATGAAACATTTCATACTAACAAAAAATATGTAAATAACTAAGGGATGCAGAATAATAAAATTACCACATATGGGTCTACTATGCCAGTCCTAGAGAAGAACACAGCCAGTACTTTTGAATTTCCTTATATGTCCCTCCTAGATTTCTATACGATTCTATATACTTCACAAAGATAACTCCTATTTTTTTAAATTGTAATTTAAATATGCCCAGCCGGTGTGGCTCCGTGGATTGAGCGTCGTCCCACGGACTGAGGAGATTCTGGTTCAATTCTTGGTCAGGGCACATGACAGGTTGTGTATTGATCCCTAGTAGGGGGCATGCAGGAGGCAACTGATCAGTGTTGCTCTCTTACTCCCTTACTCTCTCTAAAAAAAAAAATCTATTAATAACATACTAAAAAAATTATAGTTTAAACATACATATATACATACACCCAAACAATATATTATTTTGGAGTCACATGCGCTACCATTGAGCCATGAGGTCCCGACAATATATTATTTTGAACTTTATATGCCCTTGACCAGGAATCAAACCCGGGACCCTTGGGTCTGCAGGCTGATGCTGTAACTGCTGAGCTCCACTGGCCAGGGCTCTTGTCAATTTTTTTTTAAATTAATTTTTATTACAGATGTTTCTCCTTTTTCCCCCCAGACACCCTCCTCCCGATCTCTACCCCCAAGCATTGTTGTGAATGTCCATTGGTTATGCATGCATACATGCATATAAGTTCTTTGGTTTGTCTCATCCCTTCTCCCCAGCCCCTTCCTCTGAGGTTTGTCAGTCTGAACCATACTCCTTTCTGTGTCCCTGGGTCTATTTTTTTCATTATATTTCATAAATAAGTGAGATCATGTGGTATTTGTCTTTCTCTGATTGGCTTATTTGCTTAGCATAATACTCTCCAGGTCCCTCTATGTTATCTCAAAGGATAAGAGGTCTTTCTTTCTTACAGCTGCATAGTGTTCTCTCATTGTGTATATGTACCACAGGTTTTTTATCCACTCATCTACTAATGGACACTTGGGCTGTTTCTGAATCTTAGCAATTGTAAATAGGGCCACTATGAACATGGGAGTACATATATTCTTTTTAATTGGTATTTCAGGTTTCTTAGGATATATTCCTAGAATTGGGATCAAGAGTCAAATGGCAGTTCAATTTTTAATTTTTTGAGGAAACACCATATTGTTTTCCATAATGACTGTATTAGTCTGCATTCCCACCAGCAGTTTACTTGAATCCCCTTTTCTCCACACCCTCGCCAGCACTTGTTGTCTGATGATTTGGTGTGTTCATTTTTTCGTTTCCCTTGTGTTAGGGTTGTATCAGTGAAAATTCTGCTGTATGTGATATCTGAAATTTTGTTGCCTACATATCCTTCTAGGATTTTTATGGAATCGTGAGTCACATTTAAGTCTTTTATCTGTTTTGAGTTTATTCTTGTGTATGGTGTAGGTTGATGATCTAGTTTCATTTTTTTGCATATAGCTGTCCAATTTTCCCAATACAATTTATTAAAGAGGCTGTCTTTATTCCATTGTATAGAGCATACACCTTTGTCAAATATTAATTGAGCATAATGTCTTGGGTCAATGTCTGGGTTCTCTGTTCTGTTCCATTGATCTATATGCCTGTTTTTGTGTCAGTACTGGGCTGTTTTGATTACAGTGGCTTTGTAGTATAACCTGATATCCAGTATTGTGATCCTTTCTACTTTGTTCTTCTTTTTCAAGATTGCTGTGGCTCTTCGGGGTCTTCTTTTTTTGGTTCCATATGAACTTTTGAAGTATTTGTTCTAGTTCTGTGAAATATGTTGTTGGGATTTTAATGGGGATTGCATTGAATATATAAATTGCTTTGGGTAGTATGGACATTTTAATGATGTTAATTAATTCTTCCAATGCATGAACAAGGTATATACTTTCCCTTTTTTATATCTTCCTCTGTATCTTTTTTCAATGTCCCGTAGTTTTCTGCAAATAGGTCCTTTACTTCTTTGGTTAAGTTTATTCCTAGTTATCTTAATTTTTTTTCCACAGTGGTAAATGGAATTTTTTTTGTTTGTTGTCTACTGTGAGTTCAGTATTGGTGTATAAGAATGCCGTCGACACGCTGGCCAGTTTGGCTCAGCGTTTAGAGCTTTGGCCTGCAGACCAGAGAGGCCTGGGTTTGGTTCCCGCTAAGGGCATGTACCTCGGTTGTGATTTGTCCTTGGCCCTGGTTGGGGTCGTGTGAGTGGTGACCACTCAATGTGTCTCTCTCACATTGATGTTTCTCTCTCTTTTTCCCTCTCTCCCTTCCACTCTATCTCAAGATAAATGCAAAAATGTGCTTGGGTGAGGATAAAAAAAAAAGGATGCCGTTGATTTCTTGATGTTAACTTTGTACCTTGCTACTTTGCCAAATTATTTATTAAATCTAATAGATTAAAAAAAACTTTTTTTCCGTTACTGATTTTAGAGAGAGAGGAAGTGAGAGGGAGAGAGAAATAGAAACACTAATGAGAGAGAATATCAATTGGTCACCTCCTGCATGACCCCCACTGGGGATTGGGCCAACAACCTAGGCATGTGTACAGTCCTGGAATCGAATCATCAACCTCCTGGTGCATGGATTGACACTCAACCACTGAGCTACACTGGCTGGAAAAATCTAGTAGATTTTTGATGGAGTCCTTGGGGTTTTCTATGTACACTATTATTTCATCTACAAATAATGACAGTTACACTTTCTCCTTTCCAGTTTGGATCCCTTTTTATTTCTTTATTTTTATTTTTTGGTGAAACGCTGAAAGGTTCTTGGTCAAGTTCCAAATAAAGGGCAAAAGATTGGGCTAAATTTATTCATTTATTTTTTAAAACTTATTTTTATCGTTGAATGTATTACAGATGTTCCTCAATTCGCCCCCATTGACCTTCTCCTCCCCATTCCTGCCTCCCCCCTTTCCCCACACTGTTGTCTGTGTCCATTGGTTATGCATATATATGTATAAGTTCTTTGGTTTATTTCTTCTCACCCACCAACTCCCCTTCCCTTTGAGGTTTGTCATTCTAACAACCAATTTGTACTTCTTAATCCCTTCACCTTTTTCACCCATTCCCACAACCCTCCTCCCATCTGGCAACCAACAAAATGTTCTCTGTATCTATGAGAATGTTTCTGTTCTGCCTGTTCATTTTGTTTGTAAATTCAATTGTCGATAGATATGTATTCATTGCCATTTTGTTTGTTCATATATTTTATCTTTTTCTTCAAAAAGACCCTTCAGCATTTCATATAATAATGGTTTGGTGGTGATGAACTCCTCTGGTTTTTTTCTTGTCTGGTAAACTCTTTATATGGCCATCAATTCTAAATGACAGCTTTTCAGGATAGAGTAATCTTGGTTGTAGGTTCTTGCTTTTCATCACTGAATATTTCTTGCCTCTCCCTTCTGGCCTGCAAAGTTTCTTTTGAGAAATCAGCTGACAGCCTAATGGGAACTCCCTTGTAGGTAACTAGCTGCCTTTCTCTTGCTGCTTTTAAGATTCTCTCTTTGTCTTGAACCTTTTGCATTTTGATGATGATGTGTCTTGGTGTGGGCCTCTTGGGGTTCATCTTGTTTGGGACTCTCTGTGCTTCCTGGACTTGTATGTCTGTTTCCTTCACCGAGTTAGGAAAGTTTTCTGCCATATTGTTTCAAATACATTTTTGATTTCTTATTCTCTTTCTTCTCCTGGCACCTCCAAGATGCGAATGTTGGCACGCTTGAAGTTGTCCCGGAGGTTCCTTACTCTATCCTCATTTTTTTGGATTCTTTTTCTTTTTGCTGTTCTGATTGGGTGTTTTTTGCTTCCTTATATTCCAAACCAATGGTTTGCTTCTTGGCTTTACCTACTCTACTATTGAATCTGTGTAAATTATTCTTTATTTCAGTTAGTGCCTTCTTCATTTCTGACTGGTCCTTTTTTATGCCCTTGAGGCCCTCACTAAGTTCACTGAGGTTCTCACTAAGTCCATTGAGCATCCTTCCAAGACAGGTCAATCCTATGGTAAAGCAACAGGCAGCAGCTTGGGTGGGCCTGAAAGTTGGGTGGGGCGGGGCCTCAGAGAATCACCAGGGTGGGACAAACAGTGAGCCAGGTTGCTGGATCCCACATATAGCGGCTGTCTGCTTGTCCCTGGGAAGGGCTCACCAAAAGAACAAAGGCCTCTGACAGCACATCTGTCCAGGAGAAAGCCCCCTCTCCAGCCCTCACTCTAATGCCAAACAACTCAGTT